GGGATTGAACACAGGATTCTATGCATTCTCAGCATATTCTTTAATATGCTTATTACTTCAGTAATATCCACAGCCAGAAACTGGTAGTAATACTGTCAGAATAAGACCTTGTCAAAATGATGCCAAGAGATGGGTGGGATGCAGCTCAGTTGGTAGAATCATACCTAAAAGGCAGGGAACCCTGAATTTGATCCCTAGCACCACATAAACTGGGCATGGTGAAGGGCATGCCTGTCACCTCACCACTCGGGAGGTAGAGGGGTAGGTGTATCAGAAGTTCAGTCTCATTCTCTGTTACATAGTAAGTTTGAAGTTAGCTTGGGCTACATGAGACCCTGTCTCCCCTCCCCCCAAAAAAAGATGACAAGAGAGAAAGCAGGGGATGTGACGGTAGCCATCACGGGAGGATGGAGGCTAAATGTCAGGTAATTCCTATGGGAACAGAAATGACCAAGCTCATTGGCGCTCCACATCTGGTTATCCTCAGAGCTTCACATCTGCCCCCTCTCCTACCAGCCCTCTGATTAAAAGACCTTCAAGACATAAAGAGGAAACAACCGTGTCACATCGGGATGGAGGAACCCCAGGAGTGAATTATGGTCATGACAGCACAAACACACAACTGTCTCGGGGAACAGGGAGCTGATATCTAACAGCAAAACAGCCCTAAGAAAAAATCACCGACTCCCAGGTAACATGCACCAACCAGAGGAGAGAGGAAAGCAAAAAACAGAAAAACCATCCACGCAACATCAGCTGCTACTCAGCACACTGCAGCTTTGACCCTCCATGTCTGCCCTACCTGGGTTTCCACCGGCTCCTCCCCCAAACCTAGCTTAAACCACACCATCTCTCACATCCTTCTTTTCATCTTCCCCCAGCTCCTCTCCTTCAACTGACTTCCTCTGCATGAAGCTCGGGCAGCATTTCCTCTGTAAAATGTCCTCTGGCTGGGCTCGGCACTGTTCACCTCTGCACACTACAATGACCTGTGAGTGGTTTCCTAGCCTCTCCAACACTGAGACTCTCAGGCACCTCACCAACTTTGTCTTATCATCAGCCCCAAGGCTTGAGTGTGGGTCACACAAGCCAACAGCCGCTCAATGTGTGGACAACTGCATGAGAGCCCTGAGCTCTGGGAACAGGAGTATCATGAACTGACAAGCACGGCCTTGGGCTCAAAGCAGAACAGTCCTGAGGCATTAGCCAGACAGCTTTTCCTTACTATAACAAAATGCCTGACAGGGAGTACTTTTACAGAAATTCTTCTTAAGCTCAGTGCTATGGAGGGTCACAGTCCATGATCAGCTGATACCCTGGTAAGGGGGCAGTCAGTGGTACATGAAGGCAGCTTATACAGGCGTATGGAGTCACATGGCACGGGTAGAGATAAAGAACACAGGTAGGGCCAGGCTTCCTCCTTTTGTGACAGACTTTTAAGAACTACCAGAAGGTGCCATGAGAAATACGCTCAAGCCCCGGGTGACCTAAGAACCTCTGACTAGGTCCCACCTCCTAAAGGTTCCCCCTTCCAATAGTGCCAAGGCTTTAACCATCTCCCAAAGGTTCCATCTCTTTGGACAGCTAGGCCTTTAAATTCAATACAGCAGAGAGACACAAAGTACATTCATACCACAGCACAAACCTGTCCTGGTCTCTGTGGAGACATCTCCAAGTGCCCGACAGTGGCTGAGCACACAGACACTGCCATTTGCAGGAGGAGCAGAGTTAGCAGGGTCTCCGCTGGGCGGGTATTTCTAATCCCCATGGAGACACATCTGTGCTATACAATCCAAAATGGCTTTCATTGTAAGCAGTTTCTACAAGTGACCATTGCTCATGTGGTACCTATTGATGAAACTTCTCATCTCCTTAATGTGGCATGAGAAAATGACCTTCTTACTTAAAAAAAAAAGTTATGATAATGCTAAATAGACAGTGTTTCTTTGTTTGTCTGAAGGAGAGGACTTTTACCAGAAAGTGGAGTAGGCCACTGTTAGAAGACAGCAAGAAGGAAACAGCTAGTGTTGTGGGGTATTTGATGGTGTTGTGAAACTCCAAGACTGTTAATAAAATTAACCTTGGGTCAGGGGTGGAGCCAGCGACTGGTTGACAAGAATGAGCCAGAGAGAGTGTGGAGGACCCAGGGAGCTGGATAGAGAGGCACAAGTAAGTAGTAGGGAGAGACTTAGAGATTCATGGTCTTTTTTGGTCTGGAATGTGTGGAGAGATGCTTGCTGGGTCTCTGGTAAAAAGGGGAAGGTCACCTGGTTGCTCCTCCGCCATCTCTTTGATCTATCAGGTTTTCACCCCAATATCTGACTCCTGGGTCTTTACTGGTAAATGGAGCAGCTCAGATAAAACAAGAGCTGGGGCTCTGGTTCCCACCCCTGCGGACAAGCAGAGCGAGAAGTGACACTCAAACGCTGGCCACCAAGTCAGTGCTGAGTGTCCAGCAGGTCATTCACGGCTGGACAGGAAAAAAAAAAAAACTTTCCTAAAGTATCATATGACGGTCAAATGTGGTCCATGAGGAGAGCATCATGCAGAAGAGCTCGGGACTGTCAAGACGGTTCAGGTGGTAGAGGTGCTCACCGCCAAACCGGACGATACCAGCTTGATCCCCAGGCACCACATGATATGTACCTCCCCACACACATGCACTAAATAAGTAAATAAAGCAGATGTCATCTAAAATGTATCTGTAAGAGCTAGCTGCACAAACGGGGCATTCTGCCTTGTGCTGAAATGGTGGTGGCAGCAACAAACACCGAGATGGCTAGCCTTCACAGCCTGCACACACGGCGTACCAAGGTGGCTAGTTATAACTGCATGCACACCTGGCGTCAGGATCTGATGATTCTTGTTAATACTGGGTTGTTTTTTGTTTTTGTTTTTTAATTTGTTTGTCTGTCTGAGACAGTGTCTCTTGTATCCCAGAACGGTCTCACATTCACTATGTAGCCAAAGATAACCTTCCCATCCTGATCCTCAGCCTTTACTCCAGAATGCTGGGACTCTTAAGCATGTACCACCACACCCAGTTTAAGTGGTGCAGAAGCCTAGGAATCGGATCCAAGGCTTCATGCACAGGAGGCAAGAACCCAACCAGCTGAGCTGCATCCCTGTCCCCAGCTCTCTTCCTGTTATGTTTAACCGTCAGTCACACTGCAATGGGAAACGTCACCACTACCTTCGTCTTATAGGCAATGAAGCAGTTTTTGAGAAACTGAAAGTCAGCATCCACAACGGGGCAGGGCTAGACCAGAGCCCCAGTCGAAGCCAGTTTCTGACCGTCCTTCTATGCAATGTGCTTCCCAGCCCATGGGTGAGAAGCAGCACATGTTGGAAGTGGGAGGAACGCAAGGTCTTTCCGCATCCCAACACAGCAGATGGAGCGAGGGGAAGCTGATGGGATAATGCTGTCAGTCATTCTGTCTTCTCTCCCTCCATCCCAACTAAAGCAGTAACAACACTGGGAATAAGGTCCAGGGCAGACTGCAACTGTCTCACAAACTTAGCAACGGAGGAAGAACGGTGAAACCCAAGTCTTGATTTAGAACCGGGGTGATGGACCTCACTGCCGCACTAACAGTGAGAATGGATGAAGGAATGCGGCTGGTACTTGTGCTTGGCAAAAAACAGGTATCACAATATTTTTCTTCTTCCTTATCCCCAGTTCCCATTGGAAAACACAGTAGACAGCTCCCAGCTACACATTTCCTGGTCTCCTTCCCTACAGAAAAATTCCATTAAGATGCATCTCTGTCACCAGCCCTCTGTTGACCTCCCATGAAACTGGTCAATGCTTCTCAACCTTCTTAACCCTTTAATACAGTTCCTCATGCTGTGGTGACCCCCCAACCATAAAATTATTTTTGATGCTACTTCATAACTGTCATTTTGCTACTGTTATGAATTGTAATGTAAATATTTTTGGAGATCGAGGCTTGCCAAAGGGGTTGCAACCCACAGGATGAGAACCACGAGGCTAAATAAAGAAAAAGGTTCCTGCTTTCCATGTGACAGGAACATTACCACTTGGTCTATCTAGTGAGTTTCAGGCTAGCCAAGGCTACATAGTGAAACTCTGTTTCAAAAAAAAATTTTTTTTTAATTAAAACAAACCTATGAGCAAGCCATAATATAGAATTAGTAACTTTTAAAAAATCCTCCATCAAAGCCTTGGATGAAACTCAGCTCAAATCAAAATTGTGTGTGTGTGTGTGTGTGTGTGTGTGTGTGTGTGTGTGTGTGTGTATGTGTGTGTGTGTTTTAAATAAGACATTTTGAGTGAGTTCAAATGTTTTCATTTTCAGACCTGTCAAGGAGCTGACTTAAAAGTTAACCTACAGTAGAGCCAAGGTGTGGGGTGCAAGCCTATAATCCCTGACACAGGAAGATCGAGGCTAGCCTGAGCTACAAATAATAGACTATGTCTCAAAAGAAAAACAACAAAGTAAACCAGGCGTAGTGAAAAGTTCCTAGTTGCAAGATACCTGCTTTTGCTGTTTGTAGTGCAGTCGCTGGGCTCAGTGGAAACCGCCATTCTTTGAAGTCTAAGCATTTCTCATTTGCTAACACACTCAATTCTCCAGCACAACTACACTGCGATTCGCTAATTTCAATCTAAACTACAGCCTTCAAGAAACTCCGAAGCATACGCCCTTAAACATGTTCAGGACGGCCTCTAGGCATCCGACTGCCTGTCTACATTCACAGGGCAAACCAGTTCGCTTCCTGAAGCAGGACACCTGGAGGTTTTACGTTCCCAGGGAAGGGAAGGATCCTTCCACAACAGCAGGAAAGCTACTAGACTTAGTTCTTGAGTAGAATTTTTTCAAAGACTGAACACGCGTGTTTCCTTTTCCATTCTTCCGTTATATATATATATGTATGTATGTATGTATGTATGTATATATATATATATATACATATATACATATTCCCTTTACTTTCTTCTGACTAGAGAAATTCTTAATAAATCCACCTCTTGAAAGACATCAGTAACTCATTTCGAAGACTGAGGTTTTGAAAGGATAGGCAGAGATAGGCGATCAGAGTTTGGTCTGAAATTTGTAAGTTTCTGCACAGCGCGATAATTACACTACACTGTCTTTAAACAACAAAAGCATCGGGGATGCCGAAGGATACAAAGCAGAGCGCCACACAAGGACCCGGCACGGGTGCCTCGGGCGGCGCTGGGGTCACAAAGGCTGCCCAGGCAGCACGGGAGCCAGAGTCTCAACCCTGCAAGTGCCAGGCTCGCCGCTGCCTCCGATGCATCAGTCCCCTAAGCCAATGTGCGGTGGGGGACCAGGCGACTGCTGGAAAGCAGCAGAGAAGACACTGGGCACTCCGAGGAGGGCAGAAAGTGAGCAGGAAATGCGGTGTCTGGGAGGGAAGGGACAACGCAGCGGGGGGTGGGGTAGGGAGGAGGATGGGGCCAAGGCGCACGGCAAAGGCTGCAGATAAAGCCCTGGGAGGCGAAGGGGAGCAGGGAAGAGAGCAGCGGCAGGTCGCGAGGTGACCACCCGGTGCGCGCAGCCGGGGCAGAGAGTCGGGAGAGCGGTGTCACCTGTATTGTTTGAAAAGCTGATCCGACTCCCTGAAGCCGTTGTTGAGCAGCATGTTGATGCCAGCCAGGGCCAGCTCCGCGTCCTGCAGGGGCGCCGCCGCCGCCGCCGCCGCCGCCGCTGCCGCCGCGTCCGGTTCGCTTTCGTCCCTCCGCCGCGGCCGCTGCTGTTCCGAGCCGGCCATGGGCGCACGAGGCTCCGCGCGGGCCGAGGCGAGGTGCGGGAGGCGGCTGCAGCGGCCCGCGCTCCCCGAGCCCCGCTCCGACCTGCCGGGAGCCGAGCACAGCAGCCGGCAGGGGGCGGGGAGGGACGCGAAGGCGGAGCCGCCGCCCGGCTGCGGCGCGGGGAACGTGGGCGCCGGGCCGCCCCCACCCGCCGCCCAGGATTACTCAGCAGCCGGCTCGCGGCCACCCCAGCCGTTTCGGGTGTCTGCGCCCGCTTCGATCCAGCCACTCCCGAGCCGCCTCCGCTTCCCGCAGCCCCTCCGGGCCCCGGAACCGGCCCCAGCGGCCCCCGGCGAGTGCCCAGGCTGCTGACACCCACGCGAGGCCCCAAGGCCCAGTCCTCCCGGGATAGGATGGACCCCGGACGCACTGGGCGGGCGGGGGAGCTTTGACTCGGGGTCAGAGAACTCCTGGTCCGCTGCGACAGAGCGCGGCAGGACACCCAGGTGGCTTTGGCTGGGCTCTAAGTGTCAGAACCCTTGGAAGTCCAGCGCCCGGCACCCCCAACTTCGTCCCGACCCGGGCCGCCCACTAGGCCCAAGGCAGCCAATCCCCGAGCAGGTGGGCGGTGGGGGCGTGGCCTCCAGCGCTTGGACCACTTGCTGGGGCCCACCACCAACCTTAGAGCTGAGGAGAGACGAGGGTCCCTGTGCCACACAGCTAAATATTTAAAACTATTAAGAAGTGAGCTGTTAGAATGTATGTGTTCTCTTAGCACCCTGACGACTACACTTCCATGCCAGTGAAACAAATAAAGCTGTGGTTTTTATGTCAGCCAAAGTCAGCAAAATGCCAAAGGTGATAATTTAATCAGAGAGGCAGCCTCACTTCAGACAGTGAGCTGGTGGTGTCTGCATGCACCGTTTAGACACAAAAAAGAAATCGGTTTATGAGTTTTAAAAATGTTATCTCCTTTACTTTAGCAGTTAAACAATAGTGTTAGAAGATTATGTTTAGGGCTGGAGAGATGGCTCAGAGGTTAAGAGCCCTGGCTGCTCTTCCAGAGGTCCTGAGTTCAATTCCCAGCAACCACATGGTGGCTCACAACCATCTATAATGAGATCTGGTGCCCTCTTCTAGTCTGCAAGGATACATGTAGACAGAACACTGTATACATAATAAATAAATAAATCTTCAAAAAAAAAAAGAGGATTATGTACATTCAAAATGGACTAGCTTCCCTGCCTTAGAGGTCATTCACTTCAATTAGAAGAAACTCCCCTGCTGAATGGCTTTTAAACATCAAGACCATTCATACCCAGATCTAGACATTCCCTCGAATATAGCATCCAACACTATAGTGAGCTTAACAGATACTGTCACACATACAGTAATTTAAACTCGCCATGTGTTAGTTTCACAGTTATTTGCACCATTCCTTACAAGGCAATCTAACTCCATATCTCATTTTCACCCACGAAATTTAAGAGTGACGCCAGCTGCTGCCTCTCAGCTGTTAGACTTCTCTCTCTCCTTTCTTACAGGATCTCACTATGCTACTCAGGCTGGCCTGGAATTCCTGGGCTCAGTCACCCTTCCTGGCCTCCCAACCAACTAGGACAACAGGCCCATGCCTCAAGTCTAGCTGTTCTGTACTGCTGTTGTAAAATCATTGTCTGTTTGAGACGGTTTTACTCTGTAGCCCAGATTGGCCTTGAACTCACTACAATGCTCCTGCCTCAGCCTCTGGGCTGCTGGAATTACAGTTTAAGATAACACTCGACAATAACTGAAATAAATTGGAACACTAAAATAAAAAAAATGTGTCTCTGCCTGGACATGGTACCATCTAATTTAGGAATTATGGCATTTATGCTAAGAAAGACTTTACAAATTGACCCTTTAAGTGCTCTTGAAGTAGAGTTAGTCTCAGCTGTAAGCATTGTCACTGGCCTTAATGGCATTCAGACTGTAACCTGTTTTCTTGGGTACTGTAATGACCCATTTATAGGGGATCTGAATGGCATCCTTGATAAGAAAGGATGCTGGGGGGTACACATCCCACTGAGTAGAGAGCAGATCCCAAGTGGCACAGGGCCAGGGTCTCTTTAATGAATTCATGTGTAGACACATTTTGGTGGGCAAGCCGTCAGGAGATCTTCAGGACCATTCTGCCCACTGATTCCACATTAGACCCTGACCTCACAGCATCTCCTGCATTCATGCTGCCAGCCTGGCCAAGTGTCTTCCACTCACAGGCGGCCTGAACTTTGGGCCCCTAGAGCATCCACTCCCAGTACCTGCCCAATGTAGGCAGCAGGGGAGGCGAGCCCAGAGGACAATGTCAAAGTTGGGAGACAGCTGCCCCTCTTCCACCTGGGGAGGGGAACAGAGCCCAGTCCTCTATGTATTATAGCTGGGGAAATGGGGGGGGGGACAAAAAAGGAATTTCAAGCAATTTGTGAGGCCATGGGTATTGTTAACAAGCTGGATTTGGGGCCCTGCAGCGGATGGGGAGTCAGAAAAGACAAAGTAATTTCTGTGAGGCTAGTTTTATCTCAAGGGCCCACCACAGTGGATTAACAAACATCAGGGTAGTTGTCCAGCTCCCCAGCATAGACAGAGGGTGAAGTCTACAGAGTAACACACCTGATATATATGCAAAGTGAGGTTTAATCAGACACAAAATAATTCAGCTACTTATAAATTATAAATGGATACTTGAAAACATCTGCTCAGTGGTAAAGGATATGAAAAGGATTCAAGTGATGGCCGGGGCTCAGCAGTGGAGAGCTTGCTCCCCACATCTGACACTGGGGGTTCACTTCTCAATACTGCCCACAGTCAAGGGGATTCAAAGGGGCTCCCGAACCCCAAGAGGATGCTGTGGTCGGCAATGCCACACTGCCACATTTCTCCTAGCAGGTTGGGAAGTGTGGTTGACTGCTATCTTTGATAGATAATAAGCACAGATCACAGTGAATAGTTAAAAGGTCACGAGGTCTACTCCATTGAAAGGGAAGGAAAATCTGGGTTCCTAACGTTCTCAGTGTCTTCCACTTGACAATGTAGGACCCGACGTACGCTCCTGTAAAGCAAAGTCTTCAGTGCACTTGACTTTAGCAGCTAGGATTTACCCGAGTATGTCCTTCAGCAGCGGAGGGGTAGAAGAGCAGGAAGCTACAGGGGGAGGAAGCTACAGCTCATTTCCTTTCGACAGCCCTCCTGCTATGCTGATGGCCAATAGTCTCTAATGCTGCATCCACCCCACTATAGAAACAAAACTGCAAATGCTGTTACTTCACCACACATACTGCTGTGGTATTTTTATTGCGAACAACAGAAAACCCTGACCCAATTTACCTTAGAGAAACAAATTTGCTGGTTCACGTAGGGGGTTTCCAAAACGAGGCTGTATCTGGAGCTTCAATCCTGTGACCAACACCAGCTTTTCCCTCCTCCTCTCACGTCTGCCCCCCGGGTGCTCAGTGGCACTAATCCATAGTACCTACCTCATCAGAAAGTCTGACCCATGGACAACTTCCTCACAGATGCACAGACAGAATCCTCCATTCAGTTAGCCTTCCACAATCCATCTATTTCAGCCCCTCCTGGCACCCGGAGATAGCTACAGCTCACACAGGACCACATATGAAAGAGGTGATTCTGGGAAAGAGGTGTAGGAGCAGAGGCTGGGACCCCAGGTCCAGGTCTGATGCCATCACTGCTCCCTTCTTCTAGGAGGGAATGTCAGGACTGCTGTAATTAAGATGGCAATGGCTGTTACAACTGGAATACAGCATTCTACAAAAGTACCTTAAGAAAATGTAATTGTTCTGGGGTGCCATTGAAAGAACTCTTTGGTAAAGCTACCAATAGAAACAGCGTGTCTTTGTTTATTTTTTTATAAATCTGCAGTCAGTTCTGCAAATGTCTGGAATGCCAAGGAGAGTAGAAGAATGCATAGCCCTTTTACTAGGCTGGGGTGGGGTAAAAATGGCTGAGCTGCTCTTAATTAGAAGACAAGTAAGCTCAAGGTTCAGTATGGAAAACTGGGTAGCAGATCTTTTTTCTTCTCACAAGTGGTAGTCACTAGCTTGCTTCAGAGGAGAGGAGTGAGTGTTACCCCATGGGTGTTTCTCTAGCTCAGTGGATGTGGTGGTTTGAAAGAAAATGGCCCCCATATGGAGTGGCACTATTAGGAGGTATGGCTTTGTTGGAAGAAATATGTCACGGTGGGGATGAGCTTTGAGGTGTGCTTTGCTCAGGCTACACTCAGTGTGACACAGTTTACTTCCTGCTGCCTGTGGACCAAAATGTAGAACACTCAGCTCTTTCTCCAGCACCAGGTCTGCCTGCACATCACATGCTATGATGATAATGGACTAAACCTCTGAACTGTAAGCCAGCCCCAATTAAATGTTTTCCTTTATAAGAGTTGTCATGGTCATGGTGTTTCTTCACAGCAACAAAAACCCTAATAAGGCAGAAGTTGGAACCAGGGATGGGATATTGCTGTGACAAGCCTGACCATGGTTTTGTTTGGAGGAATTTGGACTTTGGGACTTTGGTTTAGAAGCAGTGGAATGCTTTAAACACTGCTTAATGAGCCATCCTAGTGGGAACCTGGAAGATTTGAACTGTGGGGGCCTGGCTCAAGATGTTTCAGAAGAAAAGAATTTTAGCATGTTGTCTAGAGATTGTTCTTGTGACATTTTGGTGAAGAATGTGGCTGCTTTTGGCCCTTGTCCAAAAAGTCTACCTGAGGCTAAAGTGAAGAGATTTGAATTAATTCCGTTGGCAGAGGAAATCTTAAAATAGCATATTGTAGACTCTGTTGTGTGGTTACTAGTATTCATGCTTATAAAGATTCATAATGAAAAGCAGCAAGCTGAGCAAGGAAAAATACAAAATGTACAATTTAAGGAGAAAAGGGCACCATAAGTGGAATGGAGCCAAGTCCTGTGTTCAAGGAAATAAACAGATTAAGAAATGGAATAGAGAGAGTGGTGATCTCAGGGCAAGACCCCACCCAGCTAAGCTTTCAATTTGTGGAAAGGAATTAAAGAATAGTTTAGGTCCAGGTGTGGTTGTACATACCTTTAATCCTAGCACTCAGGAGATAGAGTCAGGTGGATCTCTAAGTTTGAGGCCAGACTGAGTGAGTTCCAGAACACCCAAGCTTAGGCAGTGAAGGACAGAAAGCTGGTGAAGATGTAATTAAACAAGGGGGCCATGTTCCCATACCAGTAAGCAGCAGAACTTGGCAGGTTTGGCCACATGGTTCTGGCTTTAGAGTCAAGGACAGAAGAAAGAGATTATGGAATCTTTCTCCATGACTAGGAAAGCCTCTGAGGCCAGGCATATGTCAGGGGTGTCCCTGCATGGAGGCCCATAGAGGCCACTGAGTGAAGCTGTGAAGGTGAAGCTGGATTGCCTTAGAGACCCCAAGATTTTGGAGATGCCAGGGCCATTGGATACCTCCTGAGGAAAGCTGCTAACAGGCAGTGGAACCAGCCCAAGAGAAAGAATTATGCTGCAGTCAACAAAGCTGAAAGGAGTTGGAGATCTGAAGAGCATTTTGACATCAGACATGGAGACGCAGAGTTTGGAGTTTGTCCAGCTGGTTTTTGGTCTTGCTTTGGTCCAGTATTTCCTCACTATGCCCTCCCCTTTGTTTTGGAATGGTAATATATATCCTGTGCCATTCATTATATGTTAGGAGCATGTGATCTGTTTTTTTTATTTTGATTTTACAGGGGATTACAGTTAAGAGATTTCATGAATCTCAGAAGAGACTTTGAACTTTAGACTTTTAAATCAGTTTGAGACTGTTACAGACTAGGGGGACTTTTGAAATTGGATTGAATGCATGTTTGCATTATGAAATGACTACAAGCCTTTAGGGGCCAGGGAGTAGAATGTGGTGGTTTGAAAGAAAATAGCCCCCATGAGGAGTTGCACTATTAGGAGGTGTGGCTTTGTTGGAGGAAGTGTGTCACTGTGGGGGTGAACTTTGAGGTCTCTGCTCAAGCTACACTCAGTGAGACACAGTTCACTTCCTTATGCCTGCAGATCATGATGTAGAACTCTCAGCTCCTTCTCCAGCACCATGTCTGCCTGCATGCTACCATGTCCTGCCATGATGATAATGGACTAAACCTCGGAACTGTAAGCCAGCCCAATGAAATGTTTTCCTTTATAAGATTTGCCATGGTCATGGTGTCTCTTCACAGCAATTAAAAACCCTAAGACAGTGGGTCTCAACCTTACTAATGCTGTGACCCTTTAATACAGTTTCTTATTTTGTAGTGACCCCAACCATAAAACTATTTTTGTTACTACTTCATAACTGTAATTTTGCTACTGTTATGAATCATAATATAAACATTTTTTTTGAGATAGAGAGTTGTCAAAGGGGTCAGGACCCACAGGTTGAGAACCATTTCTTAAGCTTGATGCATGCCACTCAAGCTGCCCTACAGAGCACAGAAATTACTCCAGGGCAGGAAGTCATCCCTTCCAGACATCTCCTCATGTGCCTGTCTCCAAATGGAATACCTGATGGACATCAGCAGGGCTTACTTAACAAGGTGTTTATTAGGAGCCATACTCTACCACTGTAGATTCATAAAAACTGGAAGAGACCTGTGTCCTTCCTCCAGATGGCACAGTCCACCCCCCACCCCCACCCCCGGGCTCAATAGCTCAAGCAAGGAGAGCCCCATTGCCAGCCCTCAAATGCCATGTCTTTGAGGGGGAATAGTGTCCCCTTTTACTTTTCAGATAATATCTCACACACATTCTCTTCTACCCCCAACACACATCTCTCTTCCCTTTAAGTCTTCTCTTCCGTTTCCATCACTACCCTGCTCCATCTCTTTTCTGTCCCGGGCCAGGTCTCTGGAGAGAAGACTCTCACTGGTTTCAAGATCTGGGTCTGCCAAGTCTCCAGAAAGGGAGCAACTCTGGTCCCATGGATGAGGTGGGTGTCAAAAGAAACAGTGGGCTCCGTGCACTGCAGGGTGGGCTTTCTCCTGTGGTGTCTTGAAAGCAAACACATATTGCTGTTGTGAATAGTTTTTCCCGCTACCCGGTCTTTACCTAGGACAGAAATGCATTTTTCTCATTTCACGTACTGTTACTTCAGTTCTTACTGACAGTCCCAGCATCACTGTGCCTAGATTATTAACCCTTTCTTAGGTGGATTGGGGAACGGCCCCTCCCAGCACTTCTCTCTAATCACAAACTCCGCTTGTGACCACACAGGTGAATTTATCTCGAGTGGAAGCAATAGTTTTGGTAATTCTTCTCAGACTGGATTCGGCTCCAAGTCTCTAGGTGTAGTCAGGTCTTCCTGGAGAGTCCAGAGCATATGGTGGGTGTTCAACCCTCGCAAAACCAGTTCATATACTGCACGGTAAAGAGGAGGGGTGTTAGACCAGGAGGCTAGACATGGGCCACGCCCCGACCTTGCAGTGCATTAACTGTGACCTGCGGCAATTTTAGCTCAGCTCTCCGAGCTTCCATATCTTCATGTGGAATATGAAGACAATCAGTCACCTTCAGGGTGAGAAAAGCCAGTCGGGGCCTGTGCAGACACTTTCTTGGACCAATGCCTGGTTGCCCGGTGGAGAACACACCTTGAATGACAAATTTTTGAATGCTGAGGCAGGAGAACCTGGAGTGTGATGCCACCTTGGGCTACACAGTAACCCTGTCTTAAAAAGAAACAGAAGTATAGTGCTGAGATTGCTAGTGTTATTACTAAGCAAGTCCACTTGCTAATATTAATTAAACTCAGTGGATCCTTCTGTCCATATCTGTACTTGTCAACAGTATTATCTTAAAATATCCAGCACAAAGAAAATCTATGATATTGAAAAACCAGATGCATCATCTGGAGATGATTAACTCAAACTATTTCTAACACAAACAGCACAGGTTTGCTATTATTAATGTTTCTTCAGAATGTACAAAATATGTAAAAAAAAAAATCTACATTTTCAGGTTCTTTATTTGGAGCTGAACAGTCCCTGCTTCCATACTCCATTAATACTTTTTTTTCTTTTTAGAGACAGGGAGAATGGCATGTGTCCCAGGCAGGCCTCAAACCTGTTAAGCAGTTGAGGATGACCTTGAACTTCTTACCCTCCACCTGCCAAGCGTTGTGATTACAGGATTGTGCCACATGTGGACTTTAGTTGGTGCCGAGGATCAAAGTTGGGGCACCTACATATTCAGCTGCCAACGACCTATGTGTCCAGCCCCATTAACGCTTTTGACTCTCTGAAGGGCTTGGTGAAAAACAGGTAATTACGATTGTTTACTGTGTAAAGCTGGGGATCAGCTTCATGTTTGTGAGGCAGGCTGCTGCCACTGTATTGTACAAAGCTAGCTTTTTGTTGTTGTGGCAATACCTAAGAGAAATAATTCAAAGAAGGAAAAGGGTTTTTCTTTTTTTTCCTGGTTTCAGAAAGATGAATGTTTACACTAACTGGCTTGCTCCTCTTTCCTCTTTTAATCCATCTGCCCGGCCCCCACTGAGCCTGTTAGATGGTGTCAACCACATTCAAGGAAGGTCTCCCCAGTACCCTTATATGGCAATATCTTCACAGGTACACTCAGAAGTGAGCTATACTAACTGCCTGGACATCTCTCAATACCATCAAGTTGACAATCAAAATTAACCACAAGTGTGGCTAACATATTTTACACCAAGCTGGCTTATCTCAGTAAGGAAAGACACATTGCAAATTGACTATCACCTCATTCATGACTCACCTGTGGCTTTTTTTTTCTGGTTAGCAATCCAGGTGTCTCAGCATAGAATTCTGTACCACTGAATTCCTCTACGATGGGTCAGCTGATCTCTCCTTGCAGATAATGCACAGTGCTCTTCCACAAAATACTTGTCAAGTGTTCCTGCTGTATCAGGAACAGGGATAATTGCTAGTAAAATTGAGACAACTCCCATAAGATCCTTACCCTAGGACAGCTCACTACCAAAGACCCAGATGTAGCCAGATACTCATTTGTCACAAAATACGGTGCATGCCACAAAAGGTCTGAGTGCCGAGCTGGTCAGAATTTTATAATCACGCACACTTCCAGTGACAGGGCTGTGATCTCAGAGGTGCTCTTGTTCTTGTCAAGCATACTTACAAGATCCTGGCTCCTACCACACACCTATGCAGATGCCTGTTGCTAGGCTGCAAACCAGTGCCCTGTGTTACTGCACTGAGCACGACAGCAGTGTTTATGCATCTAAACTTATCTGAATGGCTTGCTCACGCCAGCCCGCCACAGCCTTACTATGACTGTGACATTAGTAGGTGATAGAGTTTTTATTTTGGCTCCATATAATCTCACAGGACTTCTGTTGGTCTGTCATTGATCAAAATGTGACTGTAGACATTATTATCTCTCTAAATGACCACAATAAGTGTATACCGAACATACTGATACCAATATTTTTATTTTAAAATATATTTTATTGAGAATTTCATACAATTTATTTTAATTACTTTTATTTTAACTTATTTTTTATGTAACCCACTAAGTCCAATCTGTGCTACCCATAAACTCACAAGTGTGGGGTCGTCCACCGGAGCATGCTCGACCTATCAGGGACACACCCTTAAAGAAAACCGACTCTCCCTCCCCAGAAGCCACCAGCTGTCCATGGCTCCTCAGTTAGAGGTGGGGGATCATGAGCCCTGTAAGTGATTTGAACAAGAACAGCCCTCATAGGCTCATATACTTGGATGTTTGGTCCTCAGTTGGTGGAACTGTTTGAGAAGGACTAAGAGGTGTGGCCTTGTTGGAGGAGGTGTGTCACTGGGGGTGGGCTTTGAGGCTTCAAAAGCACACCATTCCCAGTGAGCTCACTCTCGGCCTTACACTTGGGGATCAGATGTAAGCTCCCAGCTACTTCTCCAGCGTCATGTCTGGCTGCCTGCTGCTATGCTCCCTGCCTTGATGGTCATGGGCTCTAACCCTTCGGAACTGTGAGCCCAAATTAAAAGCTTTCTAAGTTGCCTTGGCCATAGTGTTCTGTTATAGCAGCAGAAAAGCAACTGACACCAGCCCTTTCCCTATCACTAACTGACTTGATCTTGTGCAGCCAGACACAGTGGCTATGTGTCCGTGAGTGCTGTGGGTCTGTCATGTCCAGAAGACACTGTTTTGCTCCAGTCTTCTCCACTTGGGCTCTTACAATCTTTCTACTCTCTTCCATAATAGCCAGAGAGCCTTGAGGACAGGGTTTATATAGACATCCCATTTGTGACTAAGCACTCCACAAACACTTACGTTCTGCACTTTGACCAGTTGTGAGTTTTTACATTAACCACCACCCACTGCACGAAGACACTTCTCTGAGGAGCTGAGAGCTGCACTAACCTGTGGGTGGAATTCAGGGAGCAGTTTGCTACTGTGTCCACTTGGAATAACAGTAGCAGCTTCACCCCCTGGGCCGTGTCCTCAACTGTTTGTTCTTGGTCAGAGTTATAGTGTAAGCATCTATCTCCTGTGGAGTGGACCATACAGCCATCAGAAAGAGGCTGGTTGTCCTGACAACATCAGTACCCCATCACACCCACGGAATCTTTACTCTTAGTGTGCCTTTGGCCAGCATCGAATGGACTTATGAGTGAAAGCAGGATTCTCGTGGTCAGTCACTTTCAGGCCCTTGCAGGAAAATGGTTTTGTTGTTAAACTTAGACGAAGGTGCACATTCTGGCCTTAAATCTAAGAACACATTTCATGTCATGTCTTAACAGAGTCTCTGCTCTGAGGCTGGGGTGGAGCTCAGCGGCAGAGCACAGGCTTAGCCTGTGAGAGGTCCTGAGCTCCACCCCAAGCTCCCAAGGAGGGGAAGGAGGAGAGGAGGGAGGGAGGCTCTACAGCTCCCTTGGTAGAGTGCTTGTCTAGCTGGAACAAAGTCCTAGGCTAGACCTGCAGAGCTGCATGAGGCATGGTGGGGAACATGGTTAGCCTGGAATTCCAGGCGGATGCAGGGGAGTAGGAGTTTAAGGTCAGCCTGAGCCAAATAAGACCAACCGGAAGAGAGAGGGGGCCGTCAGCCTTCTGCTGACTAGTGATTCATGTGTCTGAGGTGGAAAAGAACCCCACACAGGTGTAACCAGGGCACAAGATAAGCCCACACTAAAGCAGAAAGGAGGACGTTGGACACTGAAAATCACTTCGTTCAAGTCTTGACATTTATTTTTAAATGTGCTTATAAAAGAAGTCTCAGAGCCTTCTGCTGTGTCTGGGCTAAAAATACACATTTCTTCACTTCTCCTCGCCCTCCTCACCCTGCTATCTCCTCGGAGACACAAACAGGAAAAACAAAGGTATACTGTGAAAGGATCAAGAGAAAATGAAAGTGTGGTTCATGTCCACAGAGTGGGCCCTGGAGACCCACACACCACACACTCGGGTTTCTTTCCTTCCCACACCAGGACAAAGGACAAAGACTGCGTGAACTCAGGAGTGTTACCCAAGACCACACTCGTTATCAAGGCTCGCTCACTAATTGTTTTTCTGGATTCTCATTCTCCCCATCCTCACAGCTCACTTTGCATCCAGGCTCCGTCCCTCTACCTGCCAATCTGCCAATCATGTGGCATAGAACCCATCCCCTTCCTTGGAAACCTGTAAGATGGGACCCCCCAACCCTCCTCAGAGTTCCTACCATGCTGCTGTCTGTGTGTGTGTCTGTATGCCCATGGCATTAATAACAATTTCAATAAATCTCTTACCCAATAGGACAATTTGCTTCAGTATCTCCCTTGAACCTGTAACCTGAAACCTTTCAAGGAAGTCTTACTTCCCTTAGGATTCTGAAAAGAGGATGGCATCTAGAAGACCAGTGCCTCCCCTCCCCTAGAGAGCCGTTAATTGTCACCATACCCACGTGTGCCGGGGAATAAAACGGTCACAGGCAAATACAGTTCTACTGGTCATAAGGTAACAGTTCCATTGTCCTTCCTCAATTCAGAACACAAACAATGTTAAACCCATCCGTGAACAGCACAGCTCTCACCTCAACGGGAATAAGAAGGTTTATTCTCGGCCCAGATGAGCGGCCGTGGCCCAGAAACACACAGTTCCACGGCCCATTGGAGGCAGTTCCCTGAAGTTATAGTAACAGAAAGATAGTCACGAGGCGAGGCACTTCTCAGACACACTGGTGGAAACACAGTGGGGTTAACCACGGTGGAGAGACCTCAGCTCCCGGCCTCAGGTGTTATCTATGGCCCTCAGCATTTTGATTGGTGGAGAATTAGAGTGTTGTTAATTAATACATTCCAAAGGTTTTTAATCTGTAGTCAGGACGTTAGGTCTGACACAGGGAGAGGAAGAGGGACAAGGAATGGTTATTTAGGGGCTAAAGACAGCTAAGAAAAGTTGTAATTAGACTCTAGACCTGCAACATTCCACATCCCTCAATCCCTGAAGTTTTATTCAGCCAGTTAGCTTCTTTCCAGGAACTTTCATTCACAAAACTAACTTGTCTTTAAAAGGCTCTTCTTACGCAGGTGTTAAGTATTGTCACAAAGGCACCAGGGTTCACTCAAAAGTGATACAAAATGTAACTGGTGACCCGTCCCAGGTGCCTTCAGATGACTTACTGGCCTGCTGCATCAGAAAGATTTCCCAGGTCTAGTCACGTGTGCTAGTACTTAAGAGTGTGAAGCAGGTTCAAGGCCATTCCGGGCTACATCGAGAGACCCTGTCTCAAAAGGCAAAACAAAGCAAAGGACAGTCATATTTGACCAGTCAATTTCAACAGTGTCTTTTACTAAGAAATAGACCACTGTGTGCCAGGGTCTGCAGGAGTTGAATAGGATTTAACCCCTAGACTTGGGAGTTTCTAGTCCAGGAGGAGAGAGAAACACACTAGCAGATGACTTACTGTAAGATGGTCAAATTTCAGAGTTCTATGCTGTGTATTTCCAGAGCACAGAGAAGGATATGGGTTTATCAGAGACTTCCCAGGAGGTGTCTGATGAACCTAGAGGTAGAAAACATTGCAGACAGAGGGCCCAGCATGAACAGGGCTACAGAGAGGCCAGCATCCTCAGACAACACAGTTCTTCAGCCCAAGATGAGGTGAGTGAGGGGTCAGAGCTGTGTGTGCCTAATTCTGGGCCACCTGGGCAAAGAAGAGCCAAGAAGATATGGAGGCAGGGGGATGCCATACTCAGAGCTGGGAGCAGATCTAAAATGAAGTGCTAATTTAGTGTGATGAAGACTAGAGAGCTGTGGGCAGCAAGCGCAGAAGACCAGAGTGCTCCTCATCCCTCTGTGTGACTTATTTCCTTTTCCTTTGTCAGTGACCAAAGCCAACTCAAAGGGGCTCAGGAGGAAGCACACAGCCAGAGATGGGGGCTGCACCAGCAGGGCTGGGAATATGCGTTCACAAAGGACACCAGGACTCTGCTTCCCTCTGTGAGTGGCAAGCAGGCAGCACAATGTTCCTTCCCTCTGAAGAACTCATCAGGGCAGGGATGGCTCAGTCAGTAAAGTGTTTGCCAGATAAGCATGAGGAACTAGGTTCAATCCCCCAAACCCACGTAAAAAAGGTCAGACCAGAGCTATTACGTCAGCACGGGGGGGGGGGGGGGGGGGGGGGGGGGGCGGGGGGGTAGAGACAGGAGGACCTCTGGGGCTTGCGGGCAACCAGTCTAGGCAAATTGGTAAGCTCTGGGCTCAGGATGAGACCATCTCCAAAACTAAGATGGAGACCAGAAAGGAAGACACTGCTGTTGAGCTCTGGGACACAGATGAGCAGCCTGCACATTTCCAGCCAGAAGCAACGCTGCCTCCTAATGCCAAAAGTACCTCTACCCCCAAACATTGTGACTAAGAAATTCCGAGAACAGTACTACAGAAATTCCGAGACTAGAGCCACTGTGCATGAGAAACAAGGCCCTTCTTTGCCACACTTGAGTTTCTTCAGCCACTCCAAGCCCTTAAAACTCTAAATGACCGCTGGTCAATCAATTCAGTCTCCAATGGTGCCATGACATAGAGTCATCGTTAAAATCTTGTCGGATCTTTACATCTAACCCTGCCCTCAGTCCTACTCAGTTTCCTTTCTTCTCTCAGCATCACTCTTCATATTTTCCCAGTGTAATGAGGAAGAGACCAAGCTCCAGCTTCCAGCTCCTGTTTCCGAGGGCGATTCTGATTGGTTCTGTTTTTATCACATGGCAACCCCCGGGCCAATCTCAGGCTGGCCATGCTAAGTCATCAATGGAGCAAGAACAAGGCTAACAACTCCACCAAACCCTCAAAGCAAGGGGGAGAAGCTGTTTCCAAAGGA